ACAATTCTCTTTATGAAGGTATTTAGAAATGAAACAAACTAGAATAATACATCTGTCTCTGTATCCACTAGAAATCAAGGATACAACAGTTTAAAATATGCTGATGATGCAGCCAAATAAATAAATCCTCCCATTGTATAAATTAAGACATTTTAATTAAATGCCTTAAATTTGTTAAGTTGTTAACATTTATGTGCATGCATTACCATAAGCATTCAAATGCACACCGACTAATTACATACAATGGGCCACCAATGCCCATTCATAAAAAAATGATGCACCTGACCCTCAATGCACATCAATTCACACACCATTAAATACATGCATCAAGGCAAAATATAATTTTTTGGTGTGCAAAAGCTCATTGAGGAGGAAATAACGGTTGTTTAATCGTTTATTCTTTTTTGCCAAATTTAAATATTGAACATTGAAGGATTACAGAATGAAAAAAAATGTGGAAGTGAGAGCAATGCTGCTTTAATCTACACAGTATGTTATTTAAGCACAAATCTGGTAAAAATGGCATGATCCCCATGACTTATTTGGCCTAGAAACAATAGCACCCTCTGCATGCCACGTGAGGAAGCTCTACATTGGGTCATTTTCTGTGCACCAGATGTCCTTTAGGAATTTATTAGTGCTCATGAAATACAAGTTTACATGGTGAGCAAGTATGTATGCTGACTGGAGGAGAAATCTATATTTTCATGATTAGATTGGTGGTAATGTCCAACTGCTATTCAATATGTATTACTATTTTAAAACATAATGCAAATAATTTTGTGTCTGCTTTTAAATAATACTTATAATTGCTGTGTAACTGCTACATTACCAAACTTAAAAGTCATATAAGTTTACAAATGGAAATGGTTTTAAATTGTCAACCCCATCAAAATACCTCTTGCAAGAATATTGTTTGAAGTTCAAATGAAGGACTATATCTGAATAACATCAATACCCTGGAGAACTTTTGGCACCTGATAGTCACTCCAAAGGTTTTACAAATGTTTTCTTCAGCAAAGATGGCAAACATCATAAGGCCTTTTGTAAATATGTCTACTAAACTCTTTGTTTGAATAGAAATATTGAACTCCCACTATTACTATTAAATACACAAGAAGATTATTCCAGATTCTTTTATTTGATCAATGCTTTTTGTGTGCTATTGGACTTACTCATTTAATACAAATAAAACCAGATTTAAGTGGATAAATAATCTGCAATAACTTAATCTATTGGAGGTTAAATAGAAAACAATTATGAATTTCTCTGTTTCATAGCTATATCAACATGCAACCCTACAACTTGAACAACATATAATGAACTAAAATACATTTATTTCACACCGTGCATATTGCATTATTTTTTCTCTTTACTGCCTGATTTTAACTACAAAAATATTTAACAAACACGTTTTTTCCCCTTATTTAGTTGTACTTATTGAGAATATGTGTCTTTTAATTTAGCAAAGGTTAATTTGGTAAATAATCCAAATATCTTTTTCATGTTAAATTTTGTATACACTTTATTGAAATTCAAATACTGACACATATACATAATTATTCGTGTAAAATTTGTGAAAAAACATATAACTGTAATACTTTAAGTGACATTAAAGTCATTTTTTTCCCCCTCACCCCATGTTAATGTTAGCACTTACCTTAAATGATGTCTCTTATTCCGATCTTCTTCTTCTTTCCTGATGTTGTCATCTGTCCCTCCAGCGGTGCAGCGGCTCTCCGATCCAGCGCTGACTGCTCTGTCTCTCCGATCCAGCGGTGTCTGCATGCGGGTGCACGCGTCCATACACTTACCTTGCATCTCTGCTCGTCTCCCGGCTGAGAATTTGAACTGTGCATGCGCCCGCCCCAAGATGCTTTGCGGCTGTCCGAACAGTTTCATTTTCTCTTTGGCGGGAGCGCACAAAGAAAAAAGGTAGGTTTAAACCGCTGTTTTAGCGGTTTTTTTTTACTGTTTGCCTATATCTACTGCTTGATAGCAGTAGATATATGCAAAAAAACCTTTAAGGAATATCCAGTAAATGTTATACATCATTTGTATGTATGGGTCACTGCAAGTATACTTCTCTACCCAAGAATAATATATTATAAGATGTTTACTCCATTTTACTTCATTTTTGAACTTGGATGTTCTACTTCACTAATGCATTTTTTTTACAGCATACATTCCGTAATGCAAATGCATAAACACACTCTTTATGGGGTTCATTTATAAAAGTTCTGCCCGATGCCGTTCACACACCACTAGCACCCTACATGATGCTGATGTTTATAAGAAATATAGGTAACTTGTAGCAGATTATTCTGTGTAGATTAGCCACATACACTCAGTGGCCAGATTATTATAACCACCTGACATTTGTAGGCAAATTAGCTATAATTTCGCGCTGAAGTATCTAGAGGGCCAGACCATTATAAATAGGGAAGCAGGTTGTTTACCATGACAGTAGACGTGATTTTGTTCTGAAGATTTGGGTAAACATCGCGATTTAACAGCCTTTGAACGTGGGATGATTGTTGGCGCTCGGAGCCATGGAGCGAGTATCAGCAAAACAGCAGAATGCGTTAAATGTTCAAGAGCAGCTGTTGTTAAAGTGTTTAAAGACTGGACTGTCAGCCAAAAATCTGTGTCTGAACGTGCGAATTGTGGCCGTCAGCGACTAGTCAATGTTAGGGCAGAACGGAGAGTGGCAAGACTGGTACAAGACAACAGAAGGGCAACAGTGCATCAAATTACTGCAGATCTTAATCATGGATCCTCTCAAATGATCTCTGAATGCACCGTTAACCGTACACTGCATCGTATGGGATATGGAACCCGAAGGCCTGTTCGAACACCTTTGCTGTCTGCAGTTAACAAGATAAAACATCTCTTATTGACACAGGAACACAAGAATTGGACAGTCGAGCATTGGAAAAAAGTAATGTGGTCCGATGAATCACATTTCCAGTTGCATCATGCAGATGGCAGAGTGAGAATATGGCGGGAACAGCATGAAAGCATGCACCCCACATGCATGAGTACAACCCTTCAAGCTGGTCGGGGCAGTGTTATGGTTTGGGGCATGTTTTCCTGGCATGATTTGGGCCCTTTAATTCGTGTGGAACAAAGTCTGAATAGCACAACATACCAAAGTATCGTTGCTGATCAAGTTCATCCTATCATGTTGATGGCGTATCCCAATGGAGATGGCTTCTTCCAACAAGACAATGCGTCATGCCACGGTGCTCGTATTGTGCAGGAGTGGTTTCAAGAACATGAGGGAGACTTTACCTTGCTTAGGTGGCCCCCACAATCACCAGATCTCAATCCAATTGAGCATTTGTGGGACGAAGTTGAAAGAGCCATCAGGCAGCTGGTTCCACAACCATCAAATCTCACGGAACTGGACAGTGCTATTCATCAGGCGTGTCAGATTCCTCGCATCACCTTTCAACATCTCGTGGAGTCAATGGCAAGAAGAATCGCTGAAGTATTGAAGGCAAAAGGTGGCCCAACGAAGTACTGATGGGGTGGTCATAATAATCTGGCCACTCAGTGTATATACATATGATTTGTCAATTTTCTAATATGTATTCTGTATAATGTGTGTTGCATAATGTATATTGTAAGGGTAGCATGCATATGCACCACACAGGAGTATCAGTTTTTCCACTGATATTATTGTTCAGCAAAATATAGATAAGATTTTATAAAATGATAGATCACAACAAGGATGTCACATGGGGCTAGATTATTTGTATGTATGTTGGTTTTAAATAGATTGAATTAAGTTGTTTACAAGTTCTTTTATACATATATGAGGTCCACAGTTGCCATGATCCTTTCAGTTAATGAATGCATTATGTAAATATATTGCAGTGCGCCCTTAAATTTGTATTGATATTTTTTCACATTAGTACTGTGGTGGGCATGACAATAGCCCTCACAGACCCAAAAAATTTAACTAGGCAATGTCCCCACCGGCCCGTGGCTAACTGCTCTCACCAGTCAAACTCAGCGGCTCCAGGTATGACTGCAGCAGCTCCACAGTACCGTCACATGGACAAACATCAATACAAAATTAGTGACAGAAAATGTGCATGTACTATCAGGCAAGCCAGATGTAAAGCACCTCCTGGAGCCACTGAGTTTGACCGCTTAGAGCAGTCAGCCATGGGCCAGGGGGAACATCACCCAGTTAAATGTGTTGGGTCTGTGAGAAGCATATTGGGGTCCAAGTTGTATCTGTTTTCTTACCTGTGCATGCTGTCGAGTGCACTGTGGAATGCGAGTATAGTATAGAGTATAGTATAGTTATGATTTCACTGTATGTACTACTTTGATTTTTATCTTTGAATGCTAATTGGACGTCAGTGCCCTCGGGCCATACATATAATTATAGAAGATTGTAGAAGATTATTGACCCTATTAAGAGAGGAAATGTGCTTCTGGCCATGTGCTACTGGACATGTGCTACTAGTTTTGGTCCAATGTATAGGTGAGCAGTTTTCGGTTTCGGGTGTAGCACTGCACTGTGAGGAGACACTGTGAGGGGATACATGAATGCCAGTTTCAGAGTGTTTGGATACCTGAGCAACACTACAGAGACTTTGGATCAGTTTTGGAATTAAAATGGGACACTATATAGTTGTGGCTTATTCACCTGGCTTGTTTTCTTTTGAGTTTAATTGGTAATAGTATCACCTAGGTGTGTTTTGAAGATTATATGTTTTCTGTGAAACATTCACAGTGATAACTGCTATAAAATAGAAGTGAATAACACATTAGTACACATTTTTTTTTTTTAACATATAGGAAATCAGTGCCATCCCTGCTATACCCCAAGCAGAACTTTTATAAATGAACCCTCAAATGTATTCTCTAATTCTCTGTAATGCAACTTCTGCTGTAAATGTTACTTAATTTATGACTTCTAAGTCAATTTAAAAAAATCCAAATTCAATAAACTAGATATATAGTAAATAATGTTGTAACCTACATGATAGAATGAAGCATCTTGCCGTTTCTGTCCCAGGGAAGGTCTGAAAAAAAGACAGAATTGCATTTTAAAGGAATTGTAGATAATTTTGATAAATACAGAAATTCAACAAATTCACCCTTTTTGAGTAACAGAAAGAGACATTGCCAATGACTACCATAGAAAAACATTAAAGCTGTAACAAATACCAGAATTTAAGAGCTATCTTTATTCAAAGTGTTGCCTTACTGAAGTTTATAAAGCATATATTTCAGATGTCTAAATATTTAGGATTTCCCTTTTTCATGCACTGGAGTTATGTTCTTGCAGATTATATATGTCAAGACAGCTCTAGACTATTTTTAATACATATATTCTTATTCCTTTGATGTTTGTGGGATACCTAATGTGTACAGTGTTTACAGACATACATATAGGCTAACTACAAATACTGTAAGTACAGGCTGAATGAATTATTTTAATTATTTTATTTCCTAATACATGTTTACTTCTTCCATAATTAACCTTATTACTGCCACAAAGGAAATGATATGTGGATGGTTGTTACTTACACATTGTACTTCTGGTGTCTATACAATGCAGATCAGGGACAGTCTCTGATCTGCAGATCACCATCACACTGCTACCAGGGGAGATATTTTTGTTCAAAGATTAGAGGATATCTCAACACCTATATTTTTGTTGAGACATATACTCATTTGTGGCCACCCTGATTTTGATAAAATATTATAAAATAGTATCTCTTGGATTTGCTCCTTTAAGCAATTTAATATTATAGTCCATGCAGGCCTTAGTTATCCCAATGTGTTTCCATCTGCCTAGAGCACTGTTTGTTCACAGTACATGTTAAAGTAATTTACTTCTGACTTAAATGGTTACTCAATCAACTGCAGAATTTTATCTCAGAAAATGTATTTCCAGGGGGAATATAACATTGTCAGTTAGGTCTAGAGGCACACAAAGTAAACAGCATTACTCTTTATTTGTAGTATGACACTTCCAACTTTGTATTTATTTTATTTATAATGTACAATAATTTATGTTGCCCTTTCACAATCACTACCAGTGCATATAGAAAAAATGTAAACTATAGGTTAAGATGATATTATTGCCCCAAACTACACACAAACATATAAACAACACATTTGACTTTTAGAATCAGTCATAGGCAATGTCTTGCCAAAAGGGCTAGGTTTACCAAAATAAAGTAGTACTAAAGGCTAGATTTCACTTTCTGCATTAAGTTAAAAAAATACCCAGTACCATTCTATGTCCCCCACACTTACCTGTGGTCATTTGTCACCTCCACCGGGTCCAGGAAGATTGCAGTGTTCCCAGAACTTACTGGCTGTGGGAAGGGTACTGAGGGCAGAAGAACAATAGACTCCTTCTGCTGTCAGTCCAGCTTTTAGGAAACAAGCAGTGGAGGAAGCCGGGGTGTGGCTTTCCATGCGCTGTGTGTGTGTGTTTATGGATGTGCACAGCTAGGTGCAGGTCACAGGCATAAATGCACATGCATTCATGTATCTCCTTGACACATGACATGGGTGTCTCCTTCAGCAGCCAGCTAGATGAAGGAAAGAAAAGAAATAGACACCGGCACTCCAATAGTAAATCGATTACGTCTATTTATTGATGTGCATCAAAGGCAAAAAAACACACTTAGTGCGACGTTTCGGGGACACACATGAACCCCTTCATCAGGCAAAACATGCATTACTTTGACAGTGGCCATCCGTCGACTACTGAGCACCCAGGATACTTTGTTGGACGTGCGGTCAGGAGTGCAATGGGAACATGGACTGTAAGCTAGCTGAAGGAGACACCCACAAACAGGCAGGAGGATTAAGTGGTTGGAGACCAGCTGCAGGAGAAAAACTAATTTTAACAAGAAAAATGTTAAAAAAATGTACGGTAAGTGTGGACCTCCTCATCTTAAAACAAAACAACAATGGTTTAATATCACTTTAGAGCAACCTGCTACATTTTTAAAACTCCAAAGAACCATGGGAGCAAAGGTATCAATCAGATTTTCTTTCACCTTCCTACTAGACATGTGCACTGCCAACAAATTTGTTTAGTTTCGTTTCGCTTTAAATTTGGATTTGTGTTATTTCGTTTTTCGGGATTCGGGTGTGAAAGTCAATTCGGATTCGGAATTTGGATTCGGATGAAATTCGGTAGCGGTAGTTCGAACGTTCGTTTCGTTTTCTGTTCTTATTCGTTTCTTATTCATTTCGTTCGTTCGTTTGCAGCAAAGTGACATTTGAGGGGGAAAAAATATGTTTCTCCTTCTCTAATGTCACTTTGCTCCAACGAACGAAACGAATAAGAAATGAATAAGAAACGAATAAGAACAGAAAACGAAACGAACGTTCGAACTACCGCTACCGAATTTCAGAAATGGAAATTCGGATTCGTTTGCATTCGTTATGTCTGTAATTCGGAATTCGGATACATGCGAATGTCTGAAAATTCGTCCGAATTTCGATTCGGAACGAAACGAATCGCACATGTCTACTTCCTACCCACCATAGCTGTGGCAATTATGAAGGGCAGCAAAGGTGTATTATTCCTCCATCTGTCTTGCCTCAAATGTTTGGAACATTCAGCAGAAATAGTTTGAGATCCTGGATAAAATGAGCATGGCCAGGAACACATGTACTTAAGATTTATCACATATGTAACAAGTCATGGGTGGTTCGACTTCAATTTGTTCTGAATGATCTTAACCTTTGAGCTAGTCATAAGGGGGGAGAATTTTTGGAAGTTTTGGCATAATTAGGGTTTCTCACAAAGCTGCCAAAGGCAGCCTAGTGAATAACCGAGCTGTAGTGAAGTGAGCCGAACAACGTTTGGCTATTCACTATGGCTCAGTATGGCTAATTTCAGCCGTACATTGGCTAAAATCAGCCATACATCGTCTGCACTTTGGTCAGCTGAACATGCAGAGCAGAAGGCAAAAGGACTTAGACTCATCCAACATCTGGATTGGCTAAGCCAAAGCTTCGGCAGCTCACTTGCTGCCGTTCGCCCCTATTCACATCAGGGCCGAATGGCAGTGAGTGAATAGCCGAAAGCCACCGAGCAGCATTCGGCTTAGCTATTAGGAAAATGTTTTTTTTATGTAAATAAATAATACATTTAATACATAATATATTTAATGAAGATTTTTTTTTTAATCCAATTGGGCAACGCTAGCAGTGACAGCTAGCTTCCCCCAACTGGTTCCTATTGGCCGACACCTGCTAGAGTCTTTTAGCAGGACCCGGCCAATGAATGACAACTGGACGGAGCCGGCTGTGACATCACGGCTGGCTCCACCCAGTTATTATTGTTTAATGACAGATCAGTGTCCCTGGATCATTTGGGGACGCTGATGTGTCATTACCACTGGGCGGAGCCAACCGGCTGTCATTTGAGAGGCGTACAGCATTCGGCTGTCACTTCGGCCCAGTGGAGTCAAAACATATGCCTTCGGCTCGGCTGAGCCGCCCGGCCACCTTCAGGAGTTGTATGGGCTATAGTGAATAGCCCATACAGCAGCCCTTTGGTTGGACTGAACCGAAGGGCTTGTGCAACCGAAGCTAGCTGAAGGATCAGCTGAAGCTTCGGTTGATCCTTTGGCTAGCTTTGTGAATAGACCCCAATATCTTGAACTTTACTTTCTTTGCTGCAAAGAAGTTTCATAACATTGTAAAGTTTTGGTTTGACATGGCGAAATTTAAAAAAAAAAGGTACCTGGAAAAATGACTGCTTACATTTAAAGAGTATTTAAACCCAAAAACAAAAATGTACTACATTGTAGCTTACCAATTCTTAGATGTGGTGACTGCTTTACTTTTCTTTTTTTTAGGCTTGTTATCTTTTATTTTTACCTGGTGATCTAGCTGGCAAGTCTGGTAGTTGTTAATTCCTTTAACAGACCAAACTGTTCAGCAAAAATGGCAGAGGGGTTGGGACAAACCATGTAAAACTGACAGAAGTTCTTACAATGGTTAGCTTTCATATATTTATTTATGTAAAAGCTATATCCCAAAAGGAAAAAAAACTGTCCTGGTATGGCTTAAAAAAGTGTTAGCTGGGGTTTTACTTTCCTTTTTTATTTTTTCTGTTAAGTGAATCTAAATTTGCTTAGATATGCTTTAAGGAAGCAGACCTTTGAAGAACCTTTGCCACATTCATAAACATATCTGACTGGGTTTCCACTGTTTACATTCTTTACTTCTTCATTTTACAAGTTCACTCTTGTAGAATGATTGTTAAAATTTGATTGGTTGCTGTGTTTATGGACAGTTTCAGCACTCTCCCTTAATTCTTCAAATCAATTTAACGTTAAGGCACTTTAAGTACAGAAATATACTGATAATGTATGTATAATGTACTTCATACTAAAACTAAACCTCAAGCAGACCATATGTTCTTTTAATAATTTTTTTAACAATATTTCTTATTAAAGTTTTACAAACGTTACAAATAAGAAATGTATCTGCAGTACAAGTTAAGCACATGAAAGAATATCATCATTACAAAAATGACAAAATGCGGGAAAATTGGAACATGGGAGGGGATACTAGGTAGTAGAATGAAGAAAGATAGATATAAAAGTATTGCTTGCCAGTGGCAATATTGGGGGAAAAGCCAATGACAGAGAGGCAATGGATCAAAATGGTACCTTGCATGGTACATGATCAGAAATGAAAGTTAAGATAGTAAGATTGTACACAGAGGGTCATTTAGCCAACAAGCCCAGTTTTTGGCAAAGATCTTCCCTCTGCAGTGTACTTTGGCAAAAATATATTGATATTGACCATGGGTTTTCAGGATAGCAATAGTCTCGGATAGGGTCGGAGCAATAATCTGTTTCCATTTTCTGGATAAAGCCAATCTGGCTGCCATGATATTGTGAGTAACAAGAGTATGTTGGAATGGAGGCAAGTCCTCAACTCCAACACCTAGGAGGGCCAATTGGGGCAAGGGAGGAGGGGCATAAGATTGAGTAATAGAGAAGATGAATCTAAAAATAGCAGCCCAATAGAGTCA